ACGACTGGATTATACCTCGGGGGGGGGGTGTGGGGGAGCGGAGATAGGTGGCAAAATTTGTGTGGAAAAACGAGCCCATTTCAATTGTTTTGAACTAAAAGATGAATAAGACAGCCTTTAGATTCTAGTCAGGTTATCCGTGTTGGTCTAGTTAGCACTGCAATCATAAGCTTTCTATGGCCCTTTTCCGAAGGGAAACTTGTCCGAAACTTTTTCGCGCAGCTGTTTTCAGGCGAAATGCGCTGCTATTGCCATCTTTTCTCCCAGTTCGTATCTCACCTCTTCAATCGCACTTGTGCATATTCTTTTATTAGCTTGTAGCTTCCTGACTGACAGTGATAAAGCTGCTAATCTTCGCAGGTAATTTGCAACTTTTGTTTTCCCAGTCAGGAAATGCTGTTTACACTATTGACATTTGCCTTGTTTACGGAATGAATCGCTTGCTTAGTTATAACAGCTCGTAAAATATCCGCATACTGATTGTCCAGGACATTTTAGTAGTATCAATATGGAATTGCGGCAGGGGTCATGAAATCTTTCAATTGTACTCTGGATACGGCCGGGCATTTTATCTCAAAATCAAACAAGGGGCATTTAATGTGGTGGAGAGTGTGTTGTTAAATCGGGTGAATTAGAAAATGTCTCTGTGCGCTTGATACCAGTTTTTTTGATCAATGAAGCAACAGGAAACTACCTGGTCCGAGTAGCTAGGAGAGCAGTATGTTGCTCTGGAGATTCTGCCAGCTGTAACGCTTTCCCTTTCCTAGGCGATCTTTGGTCCTGTGGCTCGAAAATTTAGTTAAAGCATAGGTTTTTAGTCGAATCGAAAAACTGTAAAGCGAATTGTGCGAAGTTTCCGGTTAGATTTTTACAAAGAATACCATTTAAGAAGAAAGCTGGCATTCCGATCTCATTTATGCACCTGCTAGCTATTTAGCTATGGCGCTCTTACTACCCCTAACGAGTTTTGTTCTTGTGACACAGACTGAGATATGGCGCATCAGCTTAAAGCTTGAATTGCATTAGAAGATGGTAGTTCCGGTATGACGTTTCACACTCGTAAGCCAGTCATCACGCATAGGAAGGCTTAAATGGGTGGCTGAAGGATCTCCTAACCGAGTATGGAGCTAGTAACCATATCCTTTCCATGACTAGATTATCATCCAGAACCGAAGAATTTCCAATTTTACCGATATGATGATTCTTCATAAGACGACGTATTTGGTTACATTTTTTTATACATTATGCTCTACACGAGTTTTCTATTACATGTCAGTTATATAACACATCTATCGACGAGAAAAATGTGAAATTCCCTTCACAAGATTAATCTTTGGATTATTGAATTTTTGCTTCTTCTTTCAGGGAGTACTAGTGCGGCTTTTTCTCACTGTGCCAGCCTAACTGCCTTTTTTCCATTTCCAAGTAAAATCGAACCTCCATCTTCATATACCCCCTTTGCATCCATTGAATTTATGACTATAGCTTATCTTTTTCAGTTGGCGACATTTCGAGGAGGTGACTCGTTTGTTCTACTAACCGACGAAGACATGCAAAAACTACATGAGCTTGCAGCGAAGGTTAGAACCGTTTTTGTTTTTTCCAGTTTTTTTTTCAAGTTTTCTTCCAAAACTTCGGCATTTTATCGCCATTAATCTTTGAAATTTACAACTACCTATCAAAAAATTTCGCAAGAAAAACTGAAAAATTGTAACTGTATCTTTTTTTTAGTCAAGCAAGCATCACACAGAGTAAGTCTACCTGCCATTCTCGAAACCCATTCTCCAATGCTATCACAAGATACGGGTGAATTAGGAGCGGACGCGTTGAACTCCAAAGATATTCTAAAGAGAGTAAGCTTTAGCAAAGCAACAGAGGGCTTCAGGGTGCGGCTGGGCAATTTTATTGTACGGGATTCTTTCACTCTAGGCTTGACCTAAAGATGCCGTATTTGCGATAGCCGCTCCGCTTTTCTTTTTGTCCTGAAAACTATTGGATTACTATTTTAGTGCTTAGTACATTCATTCTTAGGGGAATCGTCTCTATAGTAGAGTTCCTTATGTTTGAATTGCATAGGCTTCAATTTTTCCAGTTTGATGGCTCGTTCATATTATTCTAATTCTTGGGGTTAACAAGGTTTGTAAACAAAGGGTCGTGAACGTATCTGAGAAAAGACTTATGTCTTATTTGGACTAGAAAACCGTGTTGAAGGAGATATCAAGAGTTAGAAAGAGGCAGATGCTGGATATATGTGCATTGTGAGAGCGCCCAGGCATCGCCGTATAAAGCGCTGAGCGCAAGGACTGACAGATGTCCTGAGACCATTCCTTGGTGTTGGTTTCTGCATTTGCGAACGTGAAAGTTCAGCGTCTAGTACTAAATCTGCCTCGAAAGCAAGGTCAACCGTCACGTTGGACCAATTTCGAAAATTTTACGACCCCCCTCCCCCTTCTAGAGGGCCTCGATACGACCCCCCCCACCCCCTCGTTGGACTTTGTCCAAGGATGGTTGACCCTGCTCGAAAGTCAACCTAGAAAACTGGCCACTGCTTATCAAGCTGGAGCTTTCCATCAGCTGACCATAGCTTCTCATATTTTCTCAACCTGGCACTTTGATTTGATTGCATTTATTTCTTTCCCATTAGAGCTATTTCTCGAGAACTGATTATACAGTGCGCTGATTAAGGGTACGGACTCAGACGCGGACAACACTCTTGCACTTCAATTCCTCCTCAACAACTACAAAGACGTCGTTTCGAATCCAGTCCAGAGGGCAGAATCGTGGCTGGTATGTTGTCAATTATTCCTTGACCGGCTGTTTATCTGAGAAATTAATTACGGTAATCACAGAAGGGGATTTATTTGAAGAGCTGTTTTCATTGTTGCGAACCCGCATGACAGCGACGTTGCTGAAGAAAAGTGCACCCGCAGACAGCAAATAGGCTTCGTGTCGATAAACGCTGCTATCAAAATCCGGTTTTTATTGAAAGGGGATGAAGACGGCACCTTTTAGAAGGGTTGTTATTCATTCCTGATCAATAACAAACAGTAAGTGCAAAGCATTAAGGCATAGCCCTTCACTGTAAGTGACTGTTCAAATTCGGTAGGCCGTGCTATTTTCCGAAATCAAATATTTTTCTATTATTTTACTGGCCATTGTATGCGGGGCTTACTCCATAATTTACCTCATTTTGAAAGGTTTCTATATAGAAAAAAGATTTGGCGCCGTTTTTAATGTTCTGCACTGATGTCCTTCATGCCTCAATGAGTTGATCTTATCGCTTGTACTTGGTAGGTTTTTCTCCAATGAAACATTTGGGGACAATTCATGGCAAAGTCAGGGACACGGAGATTTTACAAATAAACAACCTTCGGAACAAAATAAACTTAAAAGCTTATAAGAGCCAGCTCACAACAACGCGCCAGCATAGGATAGGCTCATTATATAACTGTTAAATTTTCGCTACGCATGCGAAATGAGGGAGTTTTTCTGAAAAGGACGAGATCTCACAGTTTTGGTATTTTGTAAGTCTTGTTATCCCACACCCCTGAAATATCCGCAAGTACGTTTTTTCTTCACAAATCAACAAAATCTCAGCCCACCCTAATCTGATCACATCAGAGCGCTTCTGTCAATCCAACACACAACGTCAAAATTGATAACCCTCAAACATAAACGACAATTCTTTTATAATATTACTTCCAAATATCTGAAGTAGCGTCCCTACTTATTTGGTACATTACACATAGCACACTAGACACTAATAATATGAGGGTGTTCATTCGTGGGGAGGACCTTTAACGTGAGTGAGTCATTCATACATTCACCCATGGGACTGATATACCTCAAGATAACCAGCAGAGCATCTAACGGTGGATAGACTCCTTTCTCTACATAAATGCACCTTCCCACAACAATGAGCACAACGTCAAAACAACGGTTTTTGGCTCGCTTCCTTTGTCACAACCTCCCCACCCCACAATGAGCGCCTCTTTTGGGAACACACCACAACACATACAAATCGAGCTGCCGAGAATGACACGCAGACTCCACCGCATGCTCTACTCCACCACCTACCGGCATGTAAGTGGCTTTGAACTGGCATACCTCCCGAACAGCTCACGTTCGCGTTCGCTTTCCTATGCCACTTCGGCCCCACATCGCCACGAGGCCGACATCTCCCACATAGCCCAGAGTTCCGATACAATCGAAGAGTTATGAACTCATTTCTCGGCCTCCGTACTAATAGTTGGCGTCAACCGCCAGCATCACTTTCACGTCCTCCCAGAAGGGTAAAAGGGTGCACATGAACCTTCTGGTTTTAATACTCCCTTTGTGAGGATGTGCCACGCATTTAGGAGCGTAGTTGCGTTTGGATGCGATCTGGCTTATAATTTGTGCTTGCGAAGGAGTGCCGTTATGGAAATCAGTGCCTGTATCCTTTCAGCAAATCTGACACTATTTAGCCGAGTGCACAAGGGGCAGAAAGCACTATACAGGCAGCACACACATACACACACTACGCACCACATCATACCCGGATCGTGAGCATTGCAAAGGACGATATTTATCACTCCACCACTTCCGTGCGCTCGGAAAAAAGTGTCTCTTCCGGTTCTTCAGCGACTCATTGCTTTTGAATATTGGCTTAGTTAGCGATGGTAAGCGGAACTTGTTAGAACAGCCAAAAGTTTTACTTCAGCTCGAAGTTCTAGCAACGTTTCAATGAAGAGCGACAAACCCTGTTATGTACGCCTAAGACACAGGAACATTCCACCCTTAATCCTTCAGCCAGACTATCTTACTACTTAATCAGCCTGCGATTAAATCTACAAGCGGTCCTCGGCTGACCGCCGAAACTTTCGCGGCTTTTTAGCGTCGTCGTTTCGTGCTGTGTGCCGCGCCGATCGACGACCGAGATGCGATCTTGGCTGGCCTGACCGACCTTGTCGCATGTCAAATGCCAACAGCCGTCGCCAACTAAGCGATGTTCTTAATTTATGACCGCTGAAGACCGCAAGGTTAGACGTGAAATCTATCCAGAGGGACGTATGCGAAATTCCCTTCGAAGAAAATTCTATTTGAAACATTCTTTTCCACCCATTTTTCATGATGCAGAGTGATCAGGAATGCATATCGACTTCAATGATTGTTAATAAGAAGTGGATAATAAGATTATTTGGATAAACAAGAACGATTTATCAGTATGGTTTCCTAACTTCCACCGTAACCACGTTGCACTGGGGCGCGCTATTGAGCACTGGAGCGCGCAATCGGACCGGCGCATGTGTACACCTCCTTTGATCGGGACTAAGCCTGGGGCATTATAACACCTTTTCTCGCGACCACCCGGAGGCAGCCCTCCAAAATTCCTGCGGCGCCCGCTTCGCCGGATAAGCGTCCGCGTTCCCGCTTGCGCGAATAAGCGGAGCAGAAGCAGGGCCTCACCTGGGCCGTTCTTCTCTGCGGCAGAACCACGCCTTGCCGTACTCTGCTTTCTACAGCGATGGCGCTCCGTACAGTTGAAGACCACATTCTCGTTGTGGAGAGCGCAGAGATAACGACGAAAACGAATCCATAACGTGGCGCCCCACCGCGAACGCGGCTACGGTGGAAGCTAGGAAACCATCCTGAGAAATCGTTCCCGTATTGGATAATTGTTTCACAGGTCAATATCAGAAGCACTCCCTTACCTAACTTTGGTCAGTCGAAGCGTCGATAACGCCTACACAGAGTACCAATGCTTTCAAAGCACTAGTCGAATCAAATATCAGAGTGGAACCTAAACGCTCAGGACCCAGGCTCGAATTGATGTGGCTTTTGTACACGAATACGAAAGTATTGGTGGCAAATAAATGGGCCAGCAGTGAAGAAAAAGAATCTATTAGGTTGTCCCATAATTAGTGAATCACTTTACATTTATTGCTATAAATTCCAAGAAAAATCTTGAAGGCGTGAAACATGTTTTGCCAAGTAGTACCCACAATGTCCTTACCTGAGCAATTAGTCAGCCCGTTCACATGTTGCCTTCAGAGGCTTAAACTACAAATTTTTCTGGAATCTTTGCCCCAACACGATATGGAATCGCCATGTTCCCTCTGGTTTCCCACACTGCCTCTCAGTGATCATCCTGCGTATTCATCAGTGTTGTGAAGTGGGTGACGTGTGCTAGCAAAATCACAAGGAGCAGCAGCCTAGCTTAAGAGATTCGAGGAGTTCTGACAGCAAAAGCCCAACCACCTCTGTCGGACCTGTATGTCCGGCACTTCTGAGATTTTAGTGGAGCACAGAAGGGACCGTGCGCTGGGAACCGCCGCCTAGTAATACTAGAGTCAGTGAATAAGGCATACGTCGACAGCATAATGGCGACGCGTTCTATCTGAGGGCAAAGCAAGACAAAGTCTGGTTGTTTTCTGAGGTCATTCGGCCCCTCCTTTCGGAAAATCTTCATAAAAAATTGGAGACCTTTGGGCTAGCAGTTCTTCCAGCTCCACCGTGAAGCCCTACCCTCGTACCAGCGAAAGATAACCTAGTCTAACTTATACCATTACTCTTCAGGAAGAAATTTTACGCTAACTGACATGACCTCAAAGCCGACTTCCGATTTTCTTTGATCAATAACTCCTGGAATTCTAGAGAAAGGACAGTGTCTAAATTTCCATGTATAGGCAATAGTTTGTAGATAACAAAGGTGTATGTTAGATGAGCAAACACTTCATATGAAAAAGAAAAAAATTAAAATTGAAAAATGCCCAAAGTGATTCACTAATTATGGGACAACCTAATACAAGACAGTAAGAGTTGAGGGCTTGCACACCTCCATAATGCAGCTGTGCTGAAGCAATGAGAGACGAGTATGAGGTATGAGGCATGATAGCGCAACAGGTGAGAGGGCGCCAGACAGTAGCCTGCTGCGGATGTTGAACAGTGCAGCTGACTGCAGCTCACTTTGCAAGCTCCAGCGCCCTTTTTGAGAGATTCCTTGCACGGAGTGCCACGTCTGTGATCATTTTCTCGAGCTCGATCCTACAGGTGGAAGGGACACACACGACTCCTGCCTGAGTTATGCCTTTAATGCCTTTTAAGGAGGACCCCAACTCCATGGAAGAGGCCCCTAGCGACGCGGCACGCCCACGGACTGGATAACTGGGTTAACCCGCTTTACAAAAAAAAACTAATGATCAAACAGTTTCAGCAAGAATGCTGGTTGTGAACAACAGACCAGCTTTTTTTTGTTATTTTTTTTTTCGCGATCCATCTTGCCAACCTTTCGCACAGGCGGTACTAAGAAACCTGCACCTCTCGCTTTGCCAGGCAATGCGCTACCAAGTTACGCTACCGGGGCACCATTTCATCCCAACTCTTTACGATCAAAAAACTGGTGATTTTTCACGGTGTGACACCAGGACGGCCCACTGTGATACCCACACAATTTTTCCACCAGTTTTTAAATCAAATCTATTTTAAGGGTTACTGACGGTCCTGATCATGAATTTGGTACTAATTATTCATGCCAACTCCATTTTGCGCGAATTTGAAACCTCAACTTGAAGTGCAAAAATTTGACACCGACAATGAGATCACACGAGGAATCGAACTAGGGACCCCTTTTTTGGTATTCAGAGGGCCGTTCAGGAAAAAGGAACCATGGTTCTGTGGTTCCCGCATGTGCCCCTATATCATGCAAGAAACCGTTTTGAAAAAGCTTGGCACACCCTGAACGACCTCCCTTGTAAGTTTGTGTCGCAAAGGGAGCTCTATCTCTGCGCTTGCAGACCCGGCAAACTTATTCGATGGGGGGGGGGGGATTGGCCCAGTGATCCGATTGCAGATTATGTCTTCTGTATCTGTCTTCAGTACCTCTTGGTAATTATTTAAGGTTATATATTAGGCTTGTAATGTATTAAGAACTACTACTGCTTTCCATGTACCAAGAAAAAATCCATTCAAGACGCAGTCCCATTACTGTTTTAATCAGTTCTGTTGTAACTGTCTTTGCTCCATGAAATTGTCATGAGATAGGGTGTAGGGATTTATTTGTGAAGATTTTTTCAGTTATGAAACAATTTTCACAAAAATGCTTCCCAAGTTGCGGATTTTGCTAGATTTCCGAAATTTTTCCTGCTTCGATTGTGCAATATATTGACCTGCTTCGCGGTTATTTATTTATTTATTTATTTATTTACTGTGCGCCCAGGAGACGCGCTTTAACAAGTCAATCAAGAGGGCAGGGTAGAGGTAGGGCAGGCTGATAGATAGGGTAGTGTTGTGACGATCCACTCGCTATAAGCTTTCTTATGGTTTAGATATGAAAGAGTGCCTGGGAACCCTACCAGGTGGAGTAGCGAAGAAGCGCATCAATCATTCCTTCTCGAAATGTAACTCATTCCGATCTAGGCTTGCTTCCAACATCGATATGCAGAGATAGTTGCTCCTAAAAATCCTGCGTTTTCGGCAATTAATACGACGTCTTCAAAATGGAAGGCCACGTTTGTTGAAGGTTGACTCTAAAATTTGGCACTCTGTGAAGAGCGATAGCGGGCATTTTAGAGTTGTTCATGAGCTACTCCTCATCTTGGCTCTTGAAAACCCATAGGAACAAAGTAGCAATTTCCAATCCAGGAACACTATTTTGAAGTTCCGCTGCGTTCAGGCGAATATTTACGTTGTGGCTTGGTGTAGATTAAGCGGCCTATGAAAATGAAGTTGAGAGTAACTATGAATTCGACTAGTAATTGAAGAGATCAAACAAGATACTAACAATGGATAACGTTTCTAGAAAATGATAATAGGGGACACATGCACTACCTACAGAACCATGGTCCTTTTTTCCTGAACGGTGTTACCGAATAGTCTCCATGTTCGACTATCCATAAATCTTGGCATTGTGTACACTGGTAGGGTTGCTTCTGTAGCCGACACCAAGATGATATAATCACTTTACTGGCTAACGTTTCGGCCGTGTCGCCGTCGTCAGAGCCTGGAAGTAAGTCAAAGATAAGTGCGACCTAGCCAGTAAAGTGATTATATCGTTTTTGGTTTCGGCTACAGAAGCAGCAAACCTTACCGATGTATCACGTAATACCAAGAAAAGGGGTCCTAGGTTCGATTCCTCGTGGTGACAAATTTTTGCATTTCGAGTTGACGTTTCAAAATTCGCGCAAAATGGAGTTAGCATGAATAATTAGTACCATATTCATGATTAGGACCGTCAGTAACCCTTAAAATAGACTTTGATTAAAAAACTGGTGAAAAAGTTGTGACATCCACAGTGGGGCCGTCTTTGGTGTCACACCTTTTTCACTAGTTTTCTAATCGAAATCTGTTTGTCAAGTTTAGTGATGGTCATTATTATGAACATAGTCCTAATTATTCATCGGGCCAACTCCATTTGCGGTCGGAATTTTTGAAATGTCAACATCAAGCAGAAATTTATCACCCAACCCGCAGGAACCTCGGCAGCTAGGGACGCCCTTTATGGTATTGCCAGCATTGCCGTTCAGGAAAACCGGATCATAGTATTGAGGGATCCTGGGCATGTGCCATCTGTATCATTGAAAAACCGTTCCCGAAAAAGCTATTGCCACAACCTGAACGACCTCCACTTGTAAAATCCCTGCGAATCCCCACAATGCGGCTTATCGTAAATGGGTGGTACAGTGGCGCACATGCGGCCTCTCACATGAACAGCTTTCCTTCTCGATACAATACCGGCAAGAGATTTGAACCGTTTCAATTGAAAAAAAAGGCACCAAGTTTTGCGTTGGTGACATCCCATAAGCTCAAACATGTAACTTTAAGGATTCTGACAATGCTTCCTCAGTTTTATTACTACTGGACACGAAAATTAAAACCCTCCTGTTTCAGACAACCCAGAAGCGCGTACGAGTAGCAGAGACCCACACCACCATTGAAGACTGCCCAAACAGTAAAATCTGGTGACATATGATATTATAGCCGATAGCTAATATTAGGTTGGAAAGAAAGTTCTGCAACACTCTTTCCAAAATTTTCTTTTTTTCTGAAAAATTCATAGGTAACATTTATGACTACCAAATGATAGAGCATTCTCAAGGCTTCAATCCACGAGGTGGATATAAGTTCTGCAGTCAGTAGGTATCCAAGAAAATTCAAAAAATCTCGACCACTAGCAAATCCGTACTCCGAGTCACTGTCTAGTACAAATGTCTACAAAACCATGGATTCGTGTCAACGACTGACACTATCTGCAATAGCTTCTAATGGCATGCCGTTCAGCGATACAGCGTGTTTCACCTTTACCAGCGCTTCCGATCTTTTGATATTTTTATAAGAAGCCAGCAGCATCCCTCACACTCCATTACAGGTAGGGCTCTTACAGAAGCTCCACTACATACCCTTCGTTATGGGCACCATTGTGTAGGCAGTGGCCTAGGTTGTGGAGTACCAGAAGCTGGCCGAGGTAGCTCGTCAAGAGCCCTCGTACCGCGACAATATTCATTTCTTTCATGACATTGCGAATCACCATGATCCGAAATGAGCCCGGTAAGAAATTCTGGAGTTGCGGCAAGATTTCTTTCCTCTCTTAGCGTAATCCCCTGGTCGAGCTGTAAATGAGTGCTACCTATCCTGGACCTTTAATCATCATCTTTATAACGAAATAATCAGACGATCAACTCCAACTCGAAAGTGAGGTCGCCTCCTTTCTCGACCGCACTCCGCTGGGTTTTGGCAAAGGAGCATCAAGAAATTTTCTGAGCGTTGGAAGACAAGTGGTGGACACTCATGGTAGATATAAGACCGGTCAGGAGTTGTAACCAAAAAAGATAAAATTAAAATCAAAAATTTGAAAAAGTGTTGCAGGACTTTCTTTCCAACCTAATATAAATGTATAATGGCAGTCTGATTAGTGACAAGTGATACAATACAACTGCAACTGGCTAATCACACGTTTGATTACATTTTGTGGAATCGTCGTAACCTGTGGTGTGTAGTCTGCACTCGACGCGCTTCTAGTTTACAAAAAAGGTAACTTTTATTTTTGAAGTGATGACCCTTACCTATTCAGTCAAAGAATATGAACACCAGCGAAATTGACTCTAACTAGTCAACTCCAGACAGGTGGGAAACGTAGCTGGTCCCGGACGTGGCCGAAGAACTAACTGAGATCGGACGGCTCCTAAATTAAAATGATGCGGTCGCCAAGAACACCAGAATGTCGTTTCTTCCCAACTGCATGTCCTTGAAAAGCTAGTAAGCCCTTTCGCAGGAATTGGGAGGGTTCTAAAGGTTTTTGGGTCGAGTGGAGAGGTCTAAGTTTGTTTTAGTTCTAATTCTTTGGTTTCCTGATACCCTACCAGGTTCACAGACAGTGAAAATGTGATTTTCAGCCAATCTTGGGACTGATCGTTGCGATCCTCATTGTGCTCTGCATCGCCGGTATTCTGGTTTCGATGTTCTTGGCAAGGTTTTGTCTGTTGAGTGCGAAAACTGCAACAAGGACGGTCTTACCATGTGAACACTCTAAACCCTCAATACAAAACTGTGAGAACCACTTTAATGTGTCAGCAACCACGCTGGACATTCCGGGGTAAGTCAAGGCAACTCAAGGCGTTCGGTTCTCACCTTATGTGATCACTCTGTTCGCTTAGCTTCCTTTGTGAATTTCCTGATCTCAAGCTTCAATTAGACGTTCGCCCTCTGGTACCAAATCTACTCGACACGTAATTCCGGATAGTCCGCACCGTATCCACCACGCCCGGAGAAGCGTTCCTGTGACTCGTCGTCCACACTTCCAGACATGCGGTCCAATCAACGAAACGCCCGACATTTCAAGACCACCGAGTGGTTGTGTCTTTTCTGAGCTTTCTTTGCATTTTGTACAGGCTTTCTGTCTAAGAGTTAATGTTGCAGCAACGTAACAGTGATCCCGGCTTTCAATGCAGGCACGTAACAGTGATCCCGGATCTATTCCACGTGCACCTGGGTCCGAATATTCGGCACCTGGAGGTGTCTATGCGCCAAATGAGCTCACCCCTCCAATGATTCTCCCACCGACAGAGCTCTACGGAACGAGTATGTCACCTTTCTGATTCTCCTATTTTTCAGTTACCAATCTACCCTAACGGCTTGGTTGGCCGTGCCCATTCAACCGGTGAAATATCCCATAAGGGTCATACACCAGTTTTGATTGTCTGGTATACTGTATTCATTTTCAGTCCCACGTGCCACGCTGATTCCTCGCAACGGGCAGCCGCCGTCACCTCAGGACCCAAAAGATCTGCCGTTCCTCGACCCGAACAGGAAGCAAGAGACCCAAACAAGAGAGGAACTTATCTATTGATTGACTGGCCCACCCATCGATTCGTATCGATCGCCAGTCGCGACGAACGATTGTGCCTCGATCTTTCCGCTAGTAACTCCTCGTAATCCCATATCGCAGCATAATTGAACACCTCATTTCTAGAGTGATGCACTCGGTCTTTGTAGATCATTTAAGGGCTGAGAGTTCAGGACTAGAATATTGTGTGTTACGATTGTGAGTTACTGTTTTTACTGAAGAGTTCTGCTCAAATTTTTGCTACTAAGAATATATGCTCATATAATTTGCTGAGAACTCGAACTATCCTCTGGCCGATTTCTGTCTCATATCATTCATTCATCAGAGCGACGTCTTTTGTGCCTCATGCCGGGTTTCAAGGAGATGTACTTTCCGCAAGCCATGTGTCTATACGTAGTGATAGGTGAATCCCATAAGTCACCAAAAAATTTTTCAATAGGAAACTTCCCTGTGCGTTGGATGGTCGGTGCCCGATGATACTCATTTTTTTGCTGAAATAAATCTTTACTACTCGAATGGACTTTGAAGATTCACAAACAACAGCGCCTTTTCGGTTAACACATATGTTAATCAGATTTCCAAACGCTTAGGCCGCGTTTATAGTTCGCGACTTGGGAGATTAGGATAGTAGGCGATAGGATTAGGATAGTAGTAGAGTAGGAGATTGCGCTGACAAGATTGGATACGTATCGATTGAAATCGCTGGAGAGTAGTAGATTGGGCGACTTCAAGCGAATAGATCAATACATATCTAATCTTGTCAGCGCACTATCCTAATCTACTACTATCCTAATCTCCTACTCTACTACTATCCTACTATCGTAATATCGCAATCTACTACTCTCCGGCGATTTCAATCGATACGTATCTAATCTTGTCAGCGCACTCCTACTCTACTACTATCCTAATCTACTACTATCCTAATCTCCCCGTCAATACATATGTTTTTCATTGTCGCGTACTATCCTAATCTCCGGAGTCGCGAACTATGAACGCGGGCCCCTTACAGATCGCCTTCACTAAAAATCGAACTAAGAAACAAAGAATACAGCTCCGTTCAGGTCATGAGTCAGCAACTATGATCAGCCCTCAAAGGCAATGATTACGATAGGTTCAATAAGGGCTTCATAGAAGACCTAGTGGTGCCTCAGTGGCTGCAGCAACGAAAAAGGGGAGAAGGCAAAACGGGTACCCTTTTTTGACACGTTGGTTTACCACGCACGAACAGGTAACAGCCTAAGCAGACAGTATTGAACGAGTTAACGCAAGGGGCGAAGTGCTTTCGAAGTCCTGCTCAGCAACCAGCGCACCTTTCGTCGTGAAAGCGCCACACCTCGCTTCCCTGGCAGCCAAGTAACTGATTCGTGTGGTGCATATGCTTCCCCGATGCGCTCCACTTTATCGTAATCGCTGCCTTTAAGGGCAAATTTCACGATTAGAATGGACAAGGAGTTTGAAACTAAGTTTATTCTCCATATCAGTACTTAGTATAATGAAGTGTATGACTGGACCTTGGCTCGGAGCGATTACTGTGTTCTGAATACACTGATGCGCTTGCTCGACAACACCAGCGCGACACATCAGCGGTTCGACATTTTCCTTGAAGCTCTAGAGCAATGGTTGCTGGTCCTCTTGTTTTTTGGGGCATTGAGGTCATTTTTGCGCTCCAGCGGGAAGAAATGGGGACTAGCAGGCAGCAGGTGAATAGCTGGAAAATATGACAGGACATTCAATTCTCGAAGCATTCTTTGAACTTTCCTATCATACTGGTATCATGTCGGACTGTCAGATTTTCCTGTGAATACTGTACTTTAGCGCGAGAGACGTTCAGTTCTCCTCCTAGGTCAGGTCACCAGAGCTGCGCGATCATTGAAGCCTAAGGTTATGCTTGGGTTTAGGCTTAGGCTTAGGCTTATGCTTACACATGGCTTATGCTGAAGCTCATGATCAGACTCAGGCTCAGTCTTAGGCTTGCAACGAGCAAATGAGTGGTGCCCTGACTTCATATGAGATGACCTGAAGAGTGAACTGAGACACACCCCTCTGGCGCGCGTAAGTTCGTAAACTGGCGGTCAAAAAATGCTCGCTGTAACGATTTTTAGTGCATTATGTTTTACCTCAAAAGCTCGGAGATATCTGGAATTCATCTCTTAACACTTAAATCCCAAAAACTCAAGGATTCGAAAATACTGAGAGACCTATTCGAAGCTTATAACTTTAGCTAAGAAAAGATGCTGCATGAAGAAGATTATGCGTATGTACTTTCATCTGCAGCAGTTTGTACATCCTACATATGCGCAACCTAGTCGAGTACACCAAGTATCTTCCCTCGTTCAAATGTGCCAGCGAGAGATAAATAACCATTTCAACGTTTGAAGTCTTGCTGAAAGGTTTTTTCTGCCCGCAAGCAATTGCTTCCAGAAGTAAGAAGTTAAAAAGGTTATCGCACTGCTAACTAGAGTCGTTTACTTCTACATTCTCAAAATGTACACATGCTGTCTTCCAAATTCTTTATCCACGGTAGAATGCCGCAAGAGCGCACGAAAGGCTGGCGATGAAGAGCAGAACTGAAAATGAACGGTGAAGTTGCTCTCGAATTATAGCTGACAAGCAAAATAGAAAATTAGGTTATACTATGCACGTATTTCTTATTTTGTACCATCTTGTCGCCTTCCGCTGCGCTAAAGTAGCTCGCAAGGTTACGTGAGGTCTACGAAGTTCCTTGGAGTTCGCAGTTAGTCCTCAGTTGATGACTGCAGCTCAGTTGTGGTGCAGTTGAGCATGGTAAAAAGATAGGACAAGGATGGATTTTGGTCAAGGATTCGTTTACGACTCGCCGAGGGCGTTTGTCTCTTCAGTCACGCTGACCCGCGCGGGGCGCCTCACTCGTCCACGCGCGAGTCGTCTGTGCTCTCCGCGCTCTACATGAACCCTCGACAGTATTCTCACACGGTACACGGCCATTGTCGTGGAATTCCTCGACCGGAATTCACCCTGGGTTGGATTCTACTCAACCACGCCGCGATACAGTGCTAAACTACAGTGGCGCTCAAAAGTACTCGGCCAAATGCTTTCTCGGCCGTAATTTTCCTTCGGTCTGCGGAGCAGCGTACACTGGCAGTATTGACCTGTACCCCTCCTTCGTGTCTATCCTTCACAGCCATTATCCTGTTGCAGAGGACATAGTCCTTGAGCGACTCCGCTACCGCTATGGCCACACCATTCCGCTTGGTGTCTTCCCCATTGTAGTAGAGTTTGACACCTTCTCCGATTTCCCTGGCCTTGGCCCCTTTCCATCGCGTCTCCTGAAGGCATAGGACTTGAATTTTTCTGCGCGTCATCAGATCAGCAACCTCTCGGGACCTTGCCCAATTGCCGAGTGCTACGTACAAAGGGACACTGTTTAGCGTTGGAGTGGCTGTCAAAATGAGATGTATATCGCCTGATGCGTCTCCTTGCTGATTCCGGATCTGCTAAACGATGCTAACAAAGTTACGAAGGTTTTTTTTTTTGCACCGTAAGTGGTACAATGGTCTAACGGTCAAAGAGGCGGACTAGCAGTACGATCGCCAGAGGATCGAATCCGCCACTCAGCTTCCTTGCCTTCCTCATGGCACGTAATGGGGGTGTAGCTTGTCGTTGTTCGATAAACTTTTCC